CATGCATGTTTTACAGTTTCTGCTATTGTGCGAGGGTGCTCTTTTAACGATTTCTCATTTAATTTTGGTGATAATGTTATTTTCTTTTTCGCTCCATATGTATTTTGATAGTGTTGTGTTTGTAACTTTCTGTTTTAAATGATGTGTGATTGTTAAATCTTTCTTGGACAGTTGTTTCTGTGGCTCCTAAGTAACTTTTTCGTCTGTGTTAATGTTAATAATCACACCACTCGATTAAATGACAAGTTTCTCCATATTAATTATATATATATATATATATATATATATATATATATATATATATATATATATATATTTACGAATTCTGCTATTTCATGATTGATATCGTTGCATAGCAACTTCTATGTAAACGTAACAGGATGTCATCTTTGATGGTGAATGTTGTAATGTCCATATAACCACTCCGATGATGGCTCATGTAAACCGAACGCTCAGAGAGAGGAACGGAATAATAAAAAATATCCAAATGTTGGACAATTTTTGTCTTTATTTTCTTTCGGAACTAATGTCACTATACAAAGCTTGGAACGGCTCATGATCAAATATAGACATTCGTTGTCTGTTATATTTAACAATATACGTTTGAATATATATATATATATATATATATATATATATATATATTCAGCTCTTTCAAAAATTTTGATTGATTCTGGACAAGCCTTCATCACTATATGCGGGCAGTGTGGCTGTTGGTTCTACTTGACCCCCATACGTCGAAACAGACGAAAGAGTCCAGTATATTTCGTAAAATACATCTGTTGGATGTTTTGGTATACATCATCAGGAATGTTTCTAGCCGAGTTTCATTAGAGGTTTCTGGTCTTTCAACATCATACCCCGTCTACTCGGTGACCCAGCTGACACTGATCGGGTATCGACTTGTGTACCACCCGTCAGCTACAATTTTCTCCATTTTCTCAATCACACACTGAAACACGTACACTTCCGGTTCACAAGCGATCGATTCACTGTGGAATTTACTAACCGGTGTGCTTGTCAAACACTCTGCCTCCGGGCAGAGAGGAGCCCAGACGAGGCTATGCCGAAGGGCAGAGTCTCGTCTGGGGTGGTAGACAGCTACACGACCCCGTTTTTACGGGGTATATGGGGAATTTTTGACCGAGCCTACGGGTTCGGATAGCCCACAATAAACTTGGCCTTGTGCCGCATCCTACCGTGTGGGGCGGTAGGTGAATATCTTCACAAGTGATCTGCGCTCTTCAATAAAAAGGAAGCAAACGCAGTAACGTTTTCGATCTAGGAAGCGGAAAATTTTAACATCAGCTTGAGATTTTTCTTGTTAAAAAGTTGAATAATTTTAACACACTCAACATTATGGATAAAAATAGTGGATTTTATATTGTGTTTCTTTCGAGACTTAGCACGAGTAAAAAAAAAAATCACAGATTTGCCCCCCCCGCAAAAAAAAACGAAAAAAAAAAAAAACAAAATGACGTAAAATTCCGTGAAATCTTTTCATTCTTTAATAGTCAGTTATGCTTAGTTTAATTTGTGACGTATATAAATGTAGGTAGAAAAAAGCAAATGTTGATAACGAGAGTCAGAAAGTACTGCCCAGGGCCACCAATCAAGCTCTCCACCAGATATGGTGGTTGGGGGGCTGGGGTAGTATGCACCGCCCTGTACATTTTATCAGTGAGTACTATTACGTATAAAGGAAACTGATATAAAGCAATCGGTAAAGTACAATAAATGTAGATGAATTCTTATAGATAATTACAGTTCATGCAGACTGATATAATGGAATATGCATACACCTGTGTTGCCCCTCACTGGAATATGATTGGCTGGTGTCCGTCATAAATACCGACGGACGTGTAGGTACGAGAGTCAGAGCCTTAATCTGAGAGTTAAGTCTATAACGACGCTCATTGGGCTACGCCATTGATCTACACTTCTTACCTGCGACTACGACGTGACCAGTCGATTACTGCTACCGTATTTTACTTGGTTATAGTAGCAAAAACCACTTAGCTACTTCGTTCAAATATATCCCTTTCCGAGACATATCACTGACAAAACAAAATATTTCACTGAATATCACCACTAGCAGAAATAAATGTGTCTTATACGAAGGCAAATACGGTACGCCTCTTGGTAACTCCAATTGCAGTGGTGTCTACAGATATCTCTTTCGGTTCTTCCATCAATCAAAAACCTCCCACTACCAGAATTTCTATCTTTTATCAACGCACTGATTGGGACTAGTTTCGTGAGTTCCTTCATGATGTCCCCTGGAAAGATGTTTTTAATCATCCTGCTCGGAAATGTGACATCGTGACCTCTTCCTGGTTGAAAGCTAGTACCGAAGAAGCTTTCGTTCCAGCTCTGAAATACCAAGTGAAACCACTACCATCACCTTGGTTCTCACCTGCCTGCTCAGTCGCTATAGCTCAGAGGAGTCACTTCTTCCGGCTCTACCGAAGCACCAGGTTTGATTGCAACAGACGTCACT